GTTTGGATGGATTAATTGCTTCATAAATGTTAACTCTTGGTAGAGTTTAGATGGATCAATTGCTTTATAGATGTTAACTCTTGGTAGAGTTTGGATGGATCAATTGCTTTATAAACGTTAAATCTTGGTAGAGTTTGGATGGATCAATTGCTTCATAAATGGTAATCTTGGTAGAGTTTGGATGGATCAATTGCTTCATAAACGTTAAATTTTGGTAGAGTTTGGGTCGATCAATTGCTTCATAAATGTTAACTCTTGGTAGAGTTTGGATGGATCAATTGCTTCATAAATGGTAAATCTTGGTAGAGTTTGGATGGATTGGATCAATTGCTTCATAAATGTTAACTCTTGGTAGAGTTTGGATGGATCAATTGCTTCATAAATGGTAAATCTTGGTAGAGTTTGGATGGATTGGATCAATTGTTTCATAAATGTTAACTCTTGGTAGAGTTTAGATGGATCAATTGCTTCATAAATGTTAAATCTTGGTAGAGTTTGGGTCGATCAATTGCTTTATAAATGTTAACTCTTGGTAGAGTTTGGATGGATCAATTGTTTCATAAATGTTAAATCTTGGTAGAGTTTAGATGGATCAATTGCTTCATAAATGTTAAATCTTGGTAGAGTTTGGATGGATCAATTGCTTTGCAAGTGTTAGCTCTTGGATGGATGCTATCTCATTTGAACTACTCCCGTTTGAACTATATTGTTCATTTGAACTATTGTTCGTTTGAACTAATGCACGTGGTACCGCGTGAGTAGTTGAAATGAACAATATGTTCACATGAAGTATTATTCATTTGAACTATTGATAAATTGTAAAGGAAATACACAAGAAAATAGTTTAAATGAACATTAAAATAGTTCAAATGAACATAAAAATAGTTCAAATGGACGTAAAAATAGTTAAAATGAACAAAAAAATAGTTCAAATTGACATAAAAATAGTTCAAATGAACAAAAAATAGTTCAAATGAACAAAAAAATAGTTCAAATGGACAAAATGATATGAAATGAACAAAAAAATAGTTACAATGAACAAAAAAGTACTTCAAATGGACATAAAAATAGTTCAAATGGACATAAAAATAGTTCAAATGTCCACATAAAAATAGTTCAAATGGTCATAAAAATAGTTCCAATGAATTTAAATTTCTTGTTAATATAAATTTTCCCTGACACTAGGTAATTTTCCAGAGAACCATTTTTGGACCCCCCCCCCTCCCCCCCTGGGTGACATACCCTAGAAACCAGAAGTCGTCCTTAGGACGTCATGAGGACGTCAATAATTACCAATGGGACGTCCGGCGACGTCGTATTTTAGGTGTTGAGGACGTTTAACGCAAGGATTCTTACGTCCTCACAACCTAATTTTCGAAAGTAAAAATCAAAATTTTCAAAACTGGTATTTATTCAAATATTTGGGTATTATATCTTACAGATCAATTCTTTTGAAAAAAATTATAATATTTGAAAATTCTAGCCATCCAAGGCCAAAAAGTGGCTTTTATTTAAATTTCAGGTGGAGACATCTAGTGGCGAAACTCAGAAGGTCCTAATTCGACCTAATATGACCTAGATCCGACTTAAGGGCACATGGTTAGGTTGTGACCAGTTATGACCAGTTTGGTAATCCAATCTGACTAAAAGGTCAAGTTATGAACAGTTAGGACCAGCTAGGTAAAGCAACCAAGTCCGACCTAATCCAACCAATCTCGACCAAATCCAACCTAAGTGGATTGGTCAAGTTAAGACTAATATGACACTAGTTAGGTAACTCAACCTAACCCGACCTAACCTGACCAAACACAACCTAGGGGGACTGGTCATGTTCCAACCAGTTAGGTCTCCTGACATAACTCAACCAATCACGACCAAATCCGACCTAAGTTTATTGGTCAGGTTAAGACCAGTATGAGACCAGTTAGGTAACTCCACCTAATCCAACCTAACCTGACCAAACACGACCTAGAAGGACTGGTCATGTTCCGACCAGTTAGGTCTCCTGACATAACTCAACCAAACTCGACCAAATCTGACCTAAGTGGATTGGTCAGGTTAATCGACCAGTATCAGACCAGTTAGGTTATTTGACCTAACCCGACCTAACCTGACCAAACACGACCTAGGGGGACTGGTCATGTTCCGACCAGTTTGGTCTCCTGACATAACTCAACCAATCTTGACCAAATCCAACCTAAGTAGATTGGTCAGGTTAAGACCAGTTTGAGACCAGTTAGGTAACTCGACCTAATCCAACCGAACCTGACCAAACATGACCTAGGGTGACTGGTCATGTTCCGACCAGTTAGGTCTCCTGACATAACTCAACCAATCTCGACCAAATCCAACCTAAGTGGATTGGTCAGGTTAAACCAGTATCAGACCAGTTAGGTTATTTGACCTAACCCGACCTAACCTGACCTAGGGGGACTGGTTATGTTCCGACCAGCTTGGTAATCTGACGTAACCCGACCTAACCTGACGTAACCCAACCTAATCTGACCTATCTTGACCTACTAGACTGGTCGTGTGACGTCGCTGGTTTCTAGGGTATGGAAACGCCTCAATTTGTTGATCGGTTTCCTCAAATTTTAGGTCCCTTTCCTCATATTTTTGATCCGTTTCCGCTTTTTTCAAGAACTTAAAAAATCTCAATTTGTTGATCGTTTTCCTCAAATTTTAGGCCAGTTTCCTCATATTTTTTATCCGTTTCCGCTTTTTTCAAAAACTTTAAAATTGTCATTTTGTTGATCGGTTTCCTCATATTTTTGATCCGTTTCCGCTTTTTTCAAAAACTTTAAAAATCTCAATTTGTTGATGGGTTTTCTCAAATTTTAGGTCCGTTTTCTCATATTTTTGATCCGTTTCCGCCTTTTTTTCAAAAACTTTAAAAATCTCAATTTGTTGATCTTTTCCCTCAAATTTTAGGTCCGTTTTCTCATATTTTTGATCCGTTTCCACTATTTTCTAAAACTTTAAAAATCTAATTTTTTTCATTTTACTATTTAATTTGAACCATCTTCATGATTATTTGAACTGGTTTTTTTGTCATTTTTTATTTGAAATATTTTTTTCTCACTTAAACTATTTTTAAGTTCATTTGAACTATATTTTTTCCATTTAAACTATTTTTGTTGTTAATTTAATCTATTTTTATGTTCATTTGAAAAATTTCTGTGTAATTGTTATCTAATTAATTGTTATGAACTAACTTGATAAGAATTATAAAAAAAATTTAAAAACTGAATTGGTAGAAAAATAGTTCATATGAGCAAGTAGTGTGTTGATTTGAACTACAGGATACGACGTCATGTCAGTAGTTCAAATGAACAATAGTTCAAACGAATAATAGTTCAAACGGGAGTAGTTCAAATAAGAATCCACCCTTGGAAGAGTTAGGATGGATCAATTACTTTATAGATGTTAATTCTTAGTAGAGTTTGGATGGCTCAATTGCTTTATAAATGTTAACTGGCTAGGTATAAAAAATCGCAAGGCTGGATAATCATGGAGTCCTGAGGTTTGTTCAAAAGATTACATTTTTAAAAATCATTTAATAACCCGGTAAAAAAACGCAACAAAATTAAAAAAATAAATGACTGATATAATTAAAAGTTATCTTTTTTTGTTTCTCAGCCTGTTTCTTAACAGAATCATTATTACGTTTTTTCCTCCGGGTTATTAAATGATAAAAAAAAAACAAGTCTTGTGAGCAAACCCCAGAATTCTCCAGCCTTGTGTATTTTGAAGAGTGAGTTAACGGTCTGATTTAGCATCGATACGTATCGTGGGCATGAAATGAAGCACGATATTTTATTATGTAAGCAAGTATTTACTTTATTTATAAAGTACTGCACTCTCAGTTCAACTACTAAACATATAGCCAGCCACGCTTTTTGAAGCAAGTCTTCGAAACGTTTATTAATTGTTGTTCAGTATACTTACAATCCTCACAAATGATGAGACTTAAGCGACAACACGACTGTAACAGAATTGGTATAGTCCTTGAAGTTCAATGCAACTGAAAACTTTTTGCTATTTATGCCAATTCATTAAATATACATATACCATTAATATATTATTTAAAGCACAAAGCCAATTTCAACTTTTATATTATTATAATCAAGATATTCATGGGATACCCTAATTGTTATAAATCCATAAATATCATCATTTATGTCATACATTTTAGCCATATCTAAAGTAAAATAACTTTAACAATAAGTAAAATATAGATTTATTTAACAAATAATAATAGATAATTTTACTAACAGGTATTTTCAAATATTGAAGAGAAATACACGAGATACCGGGAATTTTAAATGCAAAGAGAACAAAAAATCCATTGTTAAATTAACAGAACTCTAAAAGTATTAATGCAAAGAGAACAAAAAAATGATATAAAAGTTCAAACAATTGTTAAATATTGCGCTATAGTTCAAACAATATTATTTTCTGAAAATAGTTCTGCAACAGCGGGAACCAGAAAACTATGGGATAGAAAAACGAATTTTAAAACCAAACTATAACTATAAAATGTGCAGTGTTAACAGGCCCATTTCATTAAATAAAGTGATTTAATAAGTTTCTAGTAAAATTACTTGCAACTAACCAACATCAAATATTGTTTTCTGGTTATCACTGTACTTATTTTTCAGGAAGATGTATCCAAAGGGTTAAAACAGAAATACATACAAAGAATGTATTGGTTTAAAGGAGAAATAAACAGAAGCTTGATACCTAATTCAAAGGTAAAACATACTGCATAGAATAGAAAAAAAAGATTTCCGGTGGCGGTAGCTTGACACGGTTTAGAGCAACAAAAATGTTTAGAGTGAAAAAATTAACATAAATAACAGATTAAAGTGGATAGCAGGATTCAAATACTTTACAGACATTACTATATTTTTATAAAAAATATAGTTACCCACACCAAGAGTAAAATAAAGTTAAATTATTCTTTAAACCAAACCATACACCGAACAAGAAAAAATGCATATACCTAAATATTTATCTACTTTTCGTGGAAGAAGAAACAAGTGAAAGAATTTTGCATTGTATTGCGTATATATCACCAACACAGATTACACGAACAGGTGACATAATATATGTGCCAATCCCGTTCTTACAGGCGAGGACTTCAGAAACGATATACAGAATTTATACTGTCTGTTTCCTTACATTTATGCCTATCTGCAATTGTAAACTGTTTCTTTCGTTCATAAATCATTAAAATGACCATAAAAATTCTATATTGAAAAAGCAGAACACTTAATTTAACCCCTGTATCGTCAGATTTAAAGAGTTTCAGGTCGTCTTTCAAGTCTCATCCTTTAGGGATAATCTTGTATATGAATTCATTGACAGAATTGACACAAGGGATGACGAGAGAAAAGTCGTATTCTCTAAAAATTAAGTCAGACAAGTAAAACACGAATTTCCTCTTTTGTCCTGTATGTGTAATCTGTGCACATATTTTTTTTAAAAATTCTCGCCATGTTACTTGTTGAGAATTTTGAGGTTGCGGAGTATAGTACACAAATTAATGAGGTCCTTATATTCCATGCAGAAAATAAAATGTTTAGAAGTATTCTTTAATCATAAATTAAATTTGTTCTACCCGCAGACAGCATAAGTTATAGGTACAATTATAAATTTTTAACATTCAAAACTGATAAACAAATGGAAAAAAAGACGACGACCCCAAGGTTGAATTTAGTCTTTTACCTAAAATACAGTTTTCAAAAGTATCTTTTTTCTAAAACATTTTTTTAAGCATTGTAAATGATTTGAAAAAGAAAGAAACATGTTTAAAATTGCAATTAAACAATAATATGATAGGTGAGCAAATAAATTCCGAACAATCGTCTCATGAAGCCTTATCCGTTGTGGTAAACCCTGCATTACATAGAGAGAAAACTAGTTCGACTATACAGTTCAACTTTAGTTCAACTTTAGTCAGACTTTAGTTCGACTTAAGTTAGACTTTAATTCGGCCTAAGTTCGACTTTAGTTCAACTTTAGTTCAGCATAAGTTCAACTTTAATTCAACTTTAGTTCAGCTTTAGTTAAACTTTAATTTGAACTAAGTTCAGCTAAAGTTCAGCTTCAGTTGATATTTAATTCAACTTCAGTTCAGCTTTAGTTCGACTTTAGTTAAACTTTAGTTCAGCTTGATTTCAGATTAACTTCAGCTCAAGTTAAACTTTAATTCAGCTTAAGTTCAGCTTAAGTTCTGGATAAAGATCATATTTATCATATCTATTGCTTGGATGTGAAAAGAGAACGCGCTACACGCTCCAGCGCTAAATTTCGTCCTGAAAATAAAATAGAATCATTTCAAGTCACTCCAAACATTTTAATTAATTTTGGGCTTTCTGTATAATAATTAGTTAAGCAGGTTAAATAAATCAATGTATTCAGCGAACGTTCTTTAATTGTGTTTTCATTCTAGAGGATTTGTGCAGAGTAACCCTAAGCTCATAACTTTTGTATTGTTATAAGAACTGTAAGCGTAATTTCAAGTAAACAGCAATGCCTTATTTAAACTCTAGCGTACACTGTGAACTCCACTCAGCTGACACTAAGATCTATAATCTTCATATTCATAGTAATGAACAAGGAGAATTGAATAGAAGGAGGGGGCGATAGGGTTTCCGTACACTTTGCTGTGACGTTTTTAGACTTCTGAAGAACTAGTTTTTGCGTAACAACAATAACAAAGGCAGTCGATCTAATGTAAACAAACATGAGTTAGTATACAGTGAATCTTCATCTAACGCCAGAGATGCGCCAGATGTCTGTTTATCATTTGTGTTATTGTTTACAATCTTTATTATTGTTGTTACACAAAAACTAGTTCTTCAGCAGTCCAAAAACGTCACAGCAAAGTGTACGGAAACCCTATCGCCCCCTCCTTCTATTCAATTCTCCTTGGTAATCAATATCTCATTAGGTAGCAGAGCTAAGATAAAGTAAGATATTGGAGAGGTGTTGCAAAATATGAGACAGCTGGTTTTTTTTAGATTAAGAACTTAATCGCTTCAAATCAAAAGGATGATTATGGAGTTGAGGAGATGTAAGTGTCGCAGTTCCGACCGTCACGTTGTTTGCAAATATATGTATAATGTATATTGTAAAAGGAAAACGTGTAATAAAAGAGAAGAAAAAAACAAAATCAATTTTTTGTTCTTATACAGTGGTAGGCGATTATATCAATATAATTAAGACGACTTTCGATTTTAATTTTGATTTATATCAAGCTTTTAAACAGAGAGGAAACACAAAAACTTGATATTCTGAGATTGTATACAATGCCAAGGTTTTCTGTGTCACAGCCTTGTGAAATATCAACGATATACGAATTAGATATTCTGCACTGGGCTCATGAAGCATGATTAAGGATCTTTCAAGATCTTAAACAGTAAAATCAAATAACTACATTTGAGAAATTTGGCCTTAGGGCCCCAACCCTCAACTTTTTACGCCCCTGGTTCAAGTAAAATGTAATTTACCGATAAATGGAGCAGTTTTACAGGTGGGACAGGGAGGCTGGGCTCCATTTTCCAAAGACACCCTGTCCTAAAATAAATATATATATATATATTTATAATTAAAGATAAATAACCCATTTTTAACAGATCACCTTAAAATTAGATAAAAAACGAATAGACAAAGACTTTTTCCTCTTTTCCAAAATGTTTACCTTGCAAGATTCACAGATCACGTGACCCATTTTACACTGCCAAATCCTACTTGGGGGAGCCATTACCTAGATAACAAGAATTGTGGAATTAAAGAATTTTTTCTTTTTTAAAAAAATCTGGTTTTATTTTAAATCGCCACGTTAACATACTAATAAATATTTCATATCATGGTGGGATAAAAATACCTTTTATAAAGATCAGCAAAAACTAATTTATAATTTTTTCTAGAATCGTGCATCAGTTCATCTCCCCCTAGTGTTTTAACCTTTTCAATACAATGTTAGACAACAAAAGTAATGGCACAGGATGAATATTTTTATTAAAAAAAATAAGTTAGAAATGTTTTATCTATAATAATTATTACTCGTTTGAAAATTTGGAAGGAAGACGACATTTGAGCGTAGGTTTTGAAATAATCAGAACACTCGGGGAGATAAACAGACGCACGACACCGACAGAAAACAGACTTAGGACATTTTCTTTTTGATCATTTTCCCGGATTCCTACCTCCATGCAAATAGGGCACTCAAGCTCCTTCCAAGCACTATGGATCATTTCAGGCAGTTCAGTTTCCTTACTTGTGAGGTATCCTTCATCCGTTGTACTGAATTCCCAGGGGGAACCACTACATACACTACCCCCTCCTCCCTAAATTCGGAAAACTTGGACTAACAGAAAACGAAACGAAACAGAAAACAATAAAACGAAACTTTGAACAAACAAAAAAGGGGTCCGACAACATTTTAGAAAGATAAAATAATTAAACAGATAAATACAAGATAAAAGAGGTTCATGGATCATCGCTCAATTTGTTATGATGAAAGTCTAATTTCTTAAAGATTTCTATATCCCTAGAGTCTAAAGTTTATTTACTCTAGAGTCAACTGCTACCCTGGGTAGAAATTTTCTTCGGTTTCTTGAACAGGATTCTAGTTTCTACCCTGGGTAGTTCAAAATTATTCTGAAGTAGAATAATGTATGCTTTTCTTGAACAATACGTATTTATCCAGGGTAAATACATAAAACTTGCTTACTGCGCAGTGCGCATGAGTATAAAATGACGTCAACATAAGTGCTGGGTTTAAACGTCGTCGTTGCTTATTGAACATGAAATAAATAAAAAATTAAAATTTACTTTTTAAAATTTTAATGAAAACAAAAAGAAATAAGACAAAAAATTATTTGAAAAAAATAACCATGATTTTCTTATTTTCATCAGACTAAACATAATATAAACTTTTTTTCAGGCATCAATTTTGTTAAAGAACCGATGGATGAACATTTCTTATGATCTCAAATTTTTTTTCTAATTATTTTTTTTATATTTAATCGTTAATATATTTTTTTCGCTTTTCTGAACTATGCAGTTATCTTTTCTGGTCTCTATTAGCGCATTCTACCCTTGGTAAATCAAATAACACTGGGTAAAAACTCAGGGTCTGAGTTTTCTTTTCCCTAGGTAGTTTTACTCTAGAGTCGATCGTAGGTCCAAAAAATTGGAACTAGGGTTAACTCTAGAGTAAATTCCAATTTACCAGGGTAGTACCCAGGGTAACTTGACTAAGAAATTGGCCTGAATATAAATGGTTTACCTGAGACATTTTGTCACTCATCCCCTGTAAACTCGGTCTTCTAATCATAAAAAACAAGAAAATTTATCTTGTGAAAAATTAATAATATTTAAAGAACAAGAACTAATCAAATTTTTTTTACAACAGCGAGAAAAAATTATTTTGATTTTTTAACTTGGATTTTTATTGAATATCACATTTACGTTACAGGATATCAAATTGACGTTTTGACTTCTGAATATTTGGATTAGTTAAAAAAAAATATGAAAAACTTCCATAATTGTATCAATAACTTGACTTTACTTTAGCTGGACCAATCGAACATAACCCCGACTGAATTTTGGAAAATTTTTAAGAAGTCGATTTAAAAATTCCTCTTATATTCGACCTAAAACCCTTGATGTTGTATACACTAGGTGAGGCAATAGGATTTCTGTGCACTTGATTGTGACGTACTCAGCTAGGGAACTAGTTTCTGTGTTACAACAATAATAATGATGGTGAACAATAACACAGAGGATAAACAAACATCTAACATTAGATGTAAATAAACAATTGAAGATGACTACACACAATCAGAGGCACAACTGAAATATTCATATTACCTTCCCCCATCATATCCTTGGACGGAGGGAACGGACGCCATGAGCCTCCGCTGTGAAGACACAAGCCTCCATGATTTGTTAGACAGACTGAGCCTCCGCCATACAGTAAGCGCCTCCGCTATACAAAATAGTTTCCTTAAACTCTTGGTTTTTACATGTACTAAAGAATTTATTGTTTTTTTTTCGAAATAGTGGCAAAAAAGTTTATAAAAGATCAGAAGTCTTAATCAATTATTATAAACAGTGACTAATTATGATTTATTTAAGCGAAAAATTTGTTTTTACATTGACAAATAATCTTAATCTAAATAAATTTCCAATCAAGAAATGAATTTCCAAATAGCTTCCTTACTGCCCAAAAAATGTTAAAATGTAAAACATAAATATTTTATTATAAACAACTTTATGAGTCATATAAGTGACAAATCATGTCAATCAAAAAACAACAGTATTCTTAAGTAAAATTCTTGAACCACTATGTTAAAAAAAAATGAAAAAAATTCTATATTACATGTAAAAACCAAGAGTTTTAAGGAAGCTGTGCTGAATAGCGGAGGCTGGTTTACTGCAAAGCGGAGGCTCTTGCTGCATGGCGGAGGCTCGGTCTGCCTAGTAAATCTAGGAGGTTTGTGACTGCATGGCGGAGGCTCATGGCGTCCGGGGGTTCCCTTCCTCATCCTTGTGGATCCCTTCCTCTCACCGAGATTCACTGTTTATTAACTCAGGTTTTTTTTTTTTTTTAACTCTGTCTTTGTTATTGTTGTTAGACAAAAACTAGCACAAACATGACGCAAATCGTATCCCCCATACGTACCTTGAATGTACATATCTTAATTTAAAGTAAAATGTAGTAATGTACCTTGTACTCTGTGGTCTGGGACTCCCTGATGAACAAAGATCTGCATCAGGTCTGGTTCTAGATATTTATAGTGAAGGGATCAAAGTTAATAAATAATTGCGAGAAGCAAGAAACACCAAACTCAAATGTACGCAAATTGTGTAATGTACTCTCTGGGAGTAATGTATGCAAACTCGGGGCTCATACAGCCGTTGTTAGACTAGGACACAGGATTTAAGAAACGCCAATAATTTTCGTAAACTTGTATTGTGACTGAGTAACCGTCTTAAATTTTAGTGGAAGGGGAGGGGGTCATGCTCTTTGGCTGATTGATACCTTGCAAGAAACTGTGATTCCTCCTCCTGCTTCTTGAGTAGCCGACACATTTCCTCCTCCTGTCTTGTTCCATACTCCTCCTTCTCCAACATTAATCTCTCCATTAACATCATCCTCTCCTATACATACAATGATAACTCCTCCTCCTTCTCCAACATTAATCTCTCCATTAACATCATCCTCTCCTATACATACAATGATAACTCCTCCTCCTTCTCCAACATTAATCTCTCCATTAACATCATCCTCTCCTATACTTACAATGATAACTCCTCCTCCTTCTACCTCTCCATGACAAACGATGATTGAAATAAAGATGAACCTGCTCCTGGTGTGTGATGAGCTGCTGGATCTGTTCATCCATCCTAGTGATGAGCTGTCTACCCTCCTCCTCTTGCCTCAGCTCAAGTTTATCCAACTCAGTCTTGTGCAGCTCACGGAGCTCCTCAAGCAGCTCCTTTAACTTCCCGAATACTCGGGTTCTAAAAAGTTTGAAATGTTTGGAAGAGACGAACTTTAAAGTCACTTTCCAATTAAGAAGTTGCTTAGCCTGAGTTAAATTGATGAAGAATTCCATGCTTTTCTATCTTTAAGTTTATAATTTTCAAGTTGTTGCTTCTCTTTAATAATCACTTACGGAATTATGCTTCAGAGGAAAAGAATTTAACATTTGAAATTACGTTGACAGTCCTTTTAATTATTACAAATGAATTAATTGGAATGAGAGGAAAGACATTTTCTAAAATATACATGAATAGTCTCATTCGCAACTGGAGGGTTTAGAGAAAGGACAAGCTTTAACAAAATGATTTAAACTATGGTTTTGTTGATGGGCTATAACGACAATCCCCTGTTTTGAGGTTTCATGTGGGTATTAGGGTCAGAAGAGTGTAATTTAAATAGGTGGGTTTCATGTGGATCAAGAATTACATATGTGGATGAGAATAAGAGATCAAATTTTTAAGGGTTTAAAGGGTTTGTTGTTGAGAGAAACGATATAGATTATAAATTACCTATGAGTTCCATCAATAGCTAATCCTTCTTCTTCAAGACTATTCCTTCTTCCTTCTCCCTCGGACCGAAACCGTCTCTCGTCCTTGGAACACACATTTAATCGACATGTTTTTATTTTCCTTGTACTTTATCTTTATCAACTTTGTCCTTTCTTTTTCTTTGTTTCTAATCTGTTCTTTTTCTGTCTTTTCTTTCTTTTACCCTCTCTTCATATATTCTTCTTGTACTTTCACCATTTTCTTTCTCTCTTTCTCTTTCGCTTACTTTTTCATTCCTCTCAGTTTTTTTCTTAAAAATCAATAACTCTCTATTTTGCTTATCACTTTGTAACTCCTAGTTTTTCGTTATTACTCCTTTACTCCAATTTTTCAATTTATCTTTCTCCGTTTTTCAGTCTCTCCAACTTTAGGTTTTGATGCATAATCGATATAATAAAGCTCTTCGCTCATATATATACATATATATCATAAATATTGTATATATATTTGTTAGCTATAACTGGAAAACACTGGACCGAATTGGCTGATTTTTTTAAAGAGAACACATGGGTTAACAAAGCTAAAAAAGTTGCTTTTTTCTTCAAAATTCCACGGGCAACGCCGGGCACTTTAGCTACTAATCAATATAACTTTTAACTAACCTGTATAATTTCGTGAATATGAGCAGTTTCAGAAGCTGAGGGGGAATGAAGAGCAGCTCCTAAATATAATAATTTTAAAAGTTAATTTTCAAATTATTTATGTAAGATAATTTAAATTAATCCAAGATTTGTTTCAAATTTAACACCTTGTTGTTTAGAAAATATGTTTACTTAAAGGAACTGATAAATCTTCTCATAGCATAGTTTTCCAATCTTTACTATTACTATTAATTTTACTAAAAGAAAACCCGCCATTCTTTGTACATTTTATACCGGCTAAATCAAATAAGCAAAGTTTGAAATACATATAATATGAAAAATTTAAACAAATTAAGGATTTTTTCATTTACTTTTCTAGAAAATACAATTTTCTGAGATAAAGCAAAGAATCCCTAAATAAAAAGTTTAAAATAGTTAAAAGGGACTGTAAGCACAATTGACCCAGCATTGATGACAATGCCTGATTTACAACGGTAGCTTTGAAATCTTTATCTCATCCGTAATGTAAAAGATATTGTAGTTGTTCTAGTTTAAATCTGTTTAATTATGATAATTCCTTTATGTTTTCCTGCAGCAGAATATGCGCAAGTTACTTTTGTAGAGAACCACAACTGAACATAATCAAATTTCAGACAAAACTTTTAAAGGTACCGTTGTGAATCGGGCGTTGTAATCTAAGTATGGAGGGTTACTTGAAATAACGTTTACACACCCTTCAAGATATCTTTTCAATAATAAAAAAACATTAAAAATAAGATGAAATTACCTATAGTTTCTTCCAGTCTTCTGTTTCTATTATCTACTGTATCCAGATCTACTCTCTAAAAAATAAAATAAAATAAATTCAACCAAAGTTTGATTCTTTAACAAGTTTTAAAGGTACAATTATCTAACTAAATATCTTATAAAGGAACTGAGTTTTTGCTTTCTAATCCCTTTATCTTTGCAACCCAATGTCGTAGTTTGATATTTTTAACTATGAATTCCTTATATCAATTAATCAATGTTTGAAATTCCAATGGTTTACGTCATCAGGTTGCTAAGATAAAGGGAAAAGAAAATTGAGTTTGTGTCAAAGCACAGTTCAACTATTCAATTATTCTTAAATCTTAAATATTTAAAACACAGGTTTCAATTGAGCCTTACTCTTCAAAATGTGTGTATATGATTTATCTTGAAGTGTCAACAGTATAATGACAAAGTTAGTTTGCCCAGACCATAAAACAATAAACATCATTCATATTTTCCACCGGGATTATTAATATATTTCAGAGTTCCCCCTCCTCACAAATATTTTTAGAAGATTAGCTGATATTTTCGACGCTTCGCACCATTCTTTCCAAAGTTTGATATTTTCATTCCCTTATAGACTACTATGAAAAAGAGGGGAGCTGGGGTGTGATATTCAAATCCTCTACACGTGTCACCAGCCGTTACTATTTTATCCCAAAACAATAAAAATAGTGAAAGTTGATATCTTAGCTACGTGCGTATATTTAAATCTCAGACGCGCGTGTTCATGAATCAGATAAGAATTGGCATATCTAAACAATTCAATAATTCAGGACAAGACTAAAAAAATACAAAGTCTATCAACAGAACAAAATAATTTTAAAAAATAATTTAAAAAAATAATTTTAGTGAATTTAAAAAGTTTGAGAGGTTATTTTTTTCCATTGCTTGTGGCACGAAAAAAGATTTCACAGAAATTAATTTTAAGACCAAAAATGCATCTTTTAAGGGTATATTAAAATCATCAATGCGTGCTAAAATGAAATCAGTTTCACGCATTTAACCTTGTTAAATTATTCAAAACAATATGACATTGCATCATAAATATAATGAATTATAACCAAAAATACAGATAATGAGCTCTACTCTACTCGGTGGTCTCCGGTAAGTAGTTCTATATCAACTCTACTTTACTCTATACCGTGTCTCTGATAATATGTTCTAGTCTACTCTATACCATATCTCTGATAATATGTTCTACTCTACTCTATACCTTGTCTCTGATGAGATGTTCTACTTTACTCTATACCTTGTCTCTGATGAGATGTTCTACTCTACTCTATGCCTTGTCTCTGATGAGATTTTCTAGTCTGCTCTATTCCTTGTCTCTGATGAGATGTTCTACTCTACTCTATACCTTGTCTCTGATGAGATGCTCTACTCTACTCTATACCGTGTCTCTGATGAGATGTTCTACTCTACTCTATTCCTTGTCTCTGATGAGATGTTCTAGTCTACTCTATACCTTGTCTCTGATGAGATGTTCTACTCTACTCTATACCTTGTCTCTGATGATTGATATGCTCTACTCTATACCTTGTCTCTGATGAGATGTTCTACTTTACTCTATTCCTTGTCTCTGATGAGATGTTCTAGTCTACTCTATACCTTGTCTCTGATGAGATGTTCTACTCTACTCTATACCTTGTCTCTGATGATTGATATGCTCTACTCTATACCTTGTCTCTGATGAGATGTTCTACTCTACTCTATACCTTGTCTCTAATGAGATGTTCTACTGCTTGCTTGCTGGCGTATTTTACCGCTACCATCAGCGGTGTGCTCCCTAGAAAACAATTCTGTTTAAAAATTTTAATTAGAAATTTTAAATACAAAAAAAACAGCTTTAATTAGTCACAAGCACTCAAACAAGGTTTCCTACTTGTGCAATTTATTCGCTTGATGACTACTGTACATTAAATCCGCCAAAATGTTGGAAATTCCTTAATTGTATAAAAAATGCTTGACATTTAATGAAGTGATTCACTTGAAAAACAATTCATATAAAGAAGAACTGTGACAAACGGCCCCAAATGCATTGAGAATCACAATTCGTTTCAGTAAAATGAAGGGTCATTAAAAGTTCCATTACCTATATTCTTTAAAAACAAAGATGTTATCTCTGTTTGCCCGATCATAACTCGGGAACCCCTGAACCGATTTGCCTCAAATATTGATTGGGGAACTTGGGAGAGCCACGGGAATGTTTTAATATTCTAAGTTGAGTTGGCCGACTTTTTGTCAAAAAAAAAATAGCTGAAATCGTAATTTACGACCCAGTGCGGTTTAAAGCCGGGAGTAACTACGAGTAACCAGGGCAAAGCTGGGTTCCCAAGCTAGCATTCAATCAAGTAAATATATGAAGTTGAAATCTAAATAAAAAAACTTACCTAGAATTGTTTTCTCATTTACTAATATTCCAGGATGCCTGGGCAGTTACATAATCTTGTTTACAATTAGAATGGAATTTTTTATAGTTAGAAAGGGATTTTTTATAACTAGAAAGGGATTTTTTAAAGTTAAAAGGGATTGTTTACACCTAGAAAGGGATTGTTTACAACTAGAAAGGGATTGTTTACAACTAGAAAGGGATTGTTTATAACTAGAAAGGGATTGTTTACAACTAGAAAGGGATTGTTTACAACTAGAAAGGGATTGTTTACAACTAGAAAGGGATTGTTTACAACTAGAAAGGGATTGTTTACAACTAGAAAGGGATTGTTTACAACTAGAAAGGGATTGTTTACAACTAGAAAGGGATTGTTTACAACTAGAAAGGGATTGTTTACAACTAGAAAGGGATTGTTTACAACTAGAAAGGGATTGTTTACAACTAGAAAGGGATTGTTTACAACTAGAAAGGGATTGTTTACAACTAGAAAGGGATTGTTTACAACTAGAAAGGGATTGTTTACAACTAGAAANGGAGGTATTTAAGGGGGTCAGAGGGGGGGGGGGACTGGTTTTTGTCACAGTACTCCTGTTAAAATGCATTTGTTTTGTGATGAGAATGGACAAAATGAATATATTCTGATAATATTTTCATTTACAAACATTGTATCAATTATTGCTTGCATTGATTTATAATGATTTCAATTTATAATTACTTTTCCCGTTCATATACTTTCCTTGAAAGGATCCTGTAAATCTGCAATATATTTAGAATGTCGTCGTTGACAAAACTAACTATTTCGGGGGGGAAACATATACTCAATAGTTTTTTTTACACAAAATAACAAAGTATTCAAGAAAATCTAGATATATTAAAAGATTCTAACAACCATTAATCAAAGATGCAGGAGTGCCACAAGCCCGCCCAAGTATTGGTTTGGGCTTTGATTCGTGCATAAAATGCCCATTTTAAGAGTTTTTACGGAAATTATCAGGTTTCCGTCGGATTTCAGAACTTCAACACAACATTACGATCACTTTGAGACTTCTCTAAAAAAAATTACTCAAGCGACCGAGCCTTATTTGACATTAATAATAGGTTTATGGTGTGAACTCAATATTGCTAATTCCATCCCATGGATTTATTAAAAGTGTTAAAAAGAGCAAAAACTAAAAGAATCCAGAACTCAGAAGATTTATGTACTTGTCTGTAAAGTTTATAAAAAACAACCCCACATGTGAACACTGCATTTCAAATAGGAATTTACGTGACGAACATTATTCATTAGTCATTGTATAGAGTTTCAAGGTAATTTTAAGGTTTTATGATTTTTACATTTTGGATAGATAAATTGTTAAAGGATGGATCATGAACTCTCCTGAGCATATCTGAGACAGCACTGACGATATTGAATCTACAGGCAACATGAAGTCCGGCCATACCGTATACATTCTTCTCATTCACATCAATATACCTAGATATACATACATGGATACATAGTTACCAGTCATACAATATACATTCTTCTCATTCACATCAATATATCTAGATATACATAGATGGATACATGGATACCAGCTATACAATATACATTCTTCTCATTAACATCAATATACCTAGATATACATACATGGATACATGGATACCAGCCATACAATATACATTCTTCTGATTCACATCAATATACCTAGATATACATACATACATGCATAGATACCAGTCATACAATATACATGGGATACATGGATACCAGCCATACAATATACTTTCTTCTCAATCCCATGTATATATATCTAGATATATATACATGGGATACATAGATACCAGCCATACAATATACATTCTTCTCATTAACATCAATATACCTAGATATACATACATGGATACATAGATACCAGTCATACAATATACATTCTTCTCATT